ATCCACTCTAGGCAAGATAGAGAATTTTATCCCTTGTTCTCAGTAGCTGTCTCAAAATTTCATTATCCCCATACGACTGTTATCGACCACCCTTCCACAAGAAAGCCCCCCACCAAAGAAACATAAACTGCATTCTGGAAAGGGAGGATCCTGAATCAGGGGGCGCATAGCCATTCAATCTGAAATTAACTCACACTACTCTTTTGCAACTGGGATGTACGAACTCTGGTGTTTCCTCGATCGAACACCCTTAGGTAAAAGCCAGTTGCAGACTCTGTAACAGCTTTCCAATGGTCTCGTCCTTCTTGCAACCCATCAGATTGGAATAGTTCCCGAGATTTCGCCAACTGTATGTTGTACTTGAAAATCAAACTGTACGAAAATGGCCAAGCATCATAAACAGAAGATTTGACTGGGATTCGGCCGAATGTCTCATTAATACCAAATCAGTTGGCAGATGAGTATTTCTCAACAACTTGGGTGTTTGCTTCAGCTTATTTCCATTCTCGTACATGAGAAACAGCGGTCGGTGTCTGTGGAGATCTGCGCTACCTGAGCTACCAGCATTTTCCCTCTATAGAAAAGCTGTGTCTGTTCCTGGCTAACTCTACTGAAAGTTAGGAGCAGTGAAACACGTTAGGCTGAAATGAATAGCTTTCTTCGAGAAATACACTCATTTGCAAATCAATTTGGTTTTCACGGGAGATTCAGTTGAATCTCTCGTTTATGATGTGCTCCAACTGAATGTGCTGCACACAGGCCACCTCATGTTTCAGTTGGCACGATATTCGAGATATCGCAGTATATTTTCATAAAGCAAATTACTCACAAGGTTCCAGAAAACTCTCCGACAACCCACCACCGGTTTCGCCCTTCCAGTTCGGGCTCATCAGGTAGGCGCAGTCCCCGAGTTTCCGTCCAGCCCATGTTCTAATTAAACCCGAATTGCACGGGCTTAGCGAAGTACACTCATCTGCAAAAGACACCCCTGCAAAGACATTGCGGGGGAAGTTGTATGATATTTTTTCTGGATGTTGTCACTTTTACTGAAAGAATCTTAATGGTATACATTCCGCCACTTCCAACTCAGTAGTGACTTGTGAAACATGCGTTCCATCATGACAGGATGTTTCCAAATTCGATTGCTTTTATGATAGGTGAGCGAACGTAAGAACTCTGGGCTCCATGTACAAATTGTCCAAGCACTGTGCTTCACTGGCGGTGCCTTATCTGTTCTTAGATATCACTTTGGCGAACCTTGATCCCAATAGTCTGAAAAATGTGTACAAGCCGGACTTCAGATCTGCATCGAAAATGACATGGGAGTTGCATGCAGAAAACGTCACCCACCGTATTGTTTGCCTGAAGCATTTTGATCCGTTGCGTCACATCTTTCCGGAGCAGTATGTTCGTAATTTCCGGTGGAATCAAACACACCTCATAGGTCTTCACGATAGCAGTTTTATACCGTATCAACAGGGATATGGTGCCAAGACAAGCTTGCTTGGCACTGTTGTTGCCCAGAAATCGCAGTTAACACGAAGATGTTGGTGATGTGTTCATGAAAAAGAAACCAAGCGTGGTGCGGATTTTCAAGACCCACAGAATGACTTGCATCGTGATGTTGACATGTTGTCGCTTGTCATACACCGAGGATGGTGTATGGCGATGTATGGCGATAGGGATAACGCAGACGCGTGTGTTACAGGCTTCTGTTCTGTCATTAGGCAAACTGTTCTGCCATGTTCTTGGATGTGTCAACTCGTTTGGCTTGCCGACAACTCTACGCCTTTCAGGAGTTCATTTTAGAGATTATTAACGGATAAGTTTACATCCACATAGTGGACAGTAGTGGTTTGTCCTTCACCTTACAGCATGTGAAATTTCCTTGCCGTATACTCCCCTGGATGCACACGATTCTGTGGGTCTGTCTACAATCCCCGAAATTAATTACAAAACGTTATATCATCCGGCATTCCATCCGGTTCTCTTTAGTCATGCTAAACTTTTCGGTTGGCCATATTACGAAGATGCCAGGTTGCTTCTGACGGCAATGTTGTTAGCTCAGGCGGTACGCCTAGCTGCTGGATGCACCGTTTGTAAAAGTCTCGTCCACAATCGGAAGGATGTTATCAATGTGTACTGGATTAGTGTGGCAATCTGATCTAGCACTCCGCAGGATGAAGGTGTTGAGCCAATCTACGAACGACTGCGAGTCACCAACTTCATCGGACAACCTAAAGGCCCTCAGACTGGCGGACCGGATTCCAACCCTGGTGAACGCGAAACTGACAGGAGAAAGGTCACTGGGATCTAGTCGAGCAGGTCAAGTCGACAATTTTTTGGATTTACCCCAACAAGAAGCTGACGAAAAGATTTGATAACCCCTGGAAACAAGTTATATAATCACAAGTAACCCTAAGCTCAGCCCTAACACACCTATGCACCAGTAGACTATCACACCCATATCAAGAATAGCTAGCTGTGAGATGGGCGGGTGTAAACATATGCTAGAAAAAGACTGGTTTCCTGACATGTTACAAACCAAAAACAACCCAGACACTCAGTACAATGGATGGCAGACGAATATCGCCATAGTGATGAGAGTGTCTACCTCTCGAGAACACATCACTACGGATAACATTTCAGAGTTTCTGGAAAATTCACCTCAACTGGTCGAGCTGTCGCTTTAAGAAGTCTGACTGTCTGATGGATACATTTACCAATGATGTTTAACGGGGCCTTTCACGCATAAAACGACACCTGGCGATATCATTCTATACTTTAGACGTACCGAGTGCTTCGTGCACGCGTCACTTCTCCGCAGAGACATACATCTTAGTATGCATTTTATTCTGATACTTGAACGGTTGCGCTGTCCCGACTCTGACTGTGGGAGACTTAACGAGTAAGAATTGGCACAAAGCCACCTGTCTTGTTGACTCTGAAGGTGCCCACACTGCAGGTTGCTATATATGAATCGTACAGTGTTTATTAACTTCACGTGTCGTGTAACAAACCGAGAATGATGACGGATATTTGCGTAGGATGAATATGTGTGTAAAAGTGCAAAGTCCGAAACCGTTTTTCAACACGATGACGTCCATCTTGATTGACACAGCCATATCGTTAACACCGCGGGAGTGTTTACTATGAGGGACGGAAGGGTCACCCTTAGTTTTGCGCATGGTTTACGACTGATTTCGTACGATCCAACAACTATTCTTTCTGTTTATCTCAACTTGTCACTCTATCGTTCGCGCGTTGAACCTCGCCTAATCCCCAAAGGTAGGTCAATTTACGAGACACTGAAAACAATAGGGGACTTATACAATTTCTGTATCGGACCGTGAAATTTTATTTCAGTGGGGCGAATACACAGCTTCGATGCTTACAGAGATAAGAAAAGCTTCACCAGATCACTGAAAATTTAATTAAAATTTTAATAGAGTCTTATCGGCAATAGAATCGATTGCAGATAGTTAAGACGTGCCAGTTAACTCGCTTGACATGAATCGTGAAACAGAACATGAGGCGGCCTGGTGCAGCACATTTAGTTGCCTGGATACATCACAAACGAGAGACTCAGCTAAGTTACAGGTAGGTTTCCCGTAAAACCAAATTGATTTGCAAAGGAGTGTATTTAGCTAATTTCATGCAATTCGTTTCAAGTAGAACATAAGGTTGACGGAAACTCGGGAAATGCGTCTACCTGATGAGCCCCAAGAAGGGCGAAACCGGTCGTGGGTTGTCCAAGTATTTTCAGCAACCTTAAGAGTAGCATCGCGACATCCCGAATATCGCACGAACTGAAACATGAGGCGGCCTGGTGCATGCAGCACACTCACTTGCCTGAGAACATCATGAAGAAACGAGAGATTCAGTTAGATTTCAGTCTCTTGCAAAACTAGAACCGAATTAGTTTGCAAATGAGTGAGTGTCTATTGGCTAATTTGGTG